CAAATAAATGCGATAAATGCGAAATTTGTAATATTTATGCGATAAATACGAAATTTTTTATACTTTTTGGAAACTTTTTCGCAAAATCTTATCAAATATTTTTTATATGTGAGGCATTTATTGTTTTTTAAATAAATATGGTAGTTACCTAATGGTAAATGGATAAATAATTTAGGAGCAAACTATCCGCATATATTTTTTGAAATAAATTAGAAAATTTAAAGTCTTCTTTTAATTGTTAATGTGAAGGTCCTTTTGGTGAAAAAATAAATGTATTTTGTCAAATGAAAATAATGAATTTCATTAAGAGCACAGTATTATGTTGAAGACAGCAGCACATAAGAGCTTACATAAAATATTTGCAAATATGGAATCCAGCCCAATAAACGAATTTTATATGCAAATTGACAAATTATTTTCTATATCAGATGCAGCGACCGTACCCACATCATCTTTAAATTCAAATTTAACATTGGAAAGCTTTGCTTGAATGCCATTTTTTAAAGACAAGGTTTACTCATTGATGGATATGTTTATTTTTATAGTCAACTAATTAGAGTAGCCAACCAAGAAATTTCTGTTGATGTCATACTGATTTTTAAAGCAACAACATTTTGCTACCTTACCTTTGCAAAGTGAATAGTGTGGATGCTAAGAGATATTTTAGTATTTATAAAAAAAGAAAAATGAAATATATGGCCACCAGAATCTATTTGTATAAAAATGAAGAACGAATATATAGTAAAAACACAACACGAGATATCTTTACTCCTAGTCGGATATTGTTTGGTGACAAACGGCATGCGGACTGGGGGGTTAGTGTGCGGTCGTTGGCCGTGTCAACCTCAAGTTTTACAACACTTCAAATCCAACCGATGTACTCAAGTCAGAGTGCGATAGGTGGCACTTTTTCTCACTTTTTTCTACTGTGATTAATTATTTAGCTTACTGGCCCATATTCGCCCAGCCAGACACGTTGGTACATTTGGCGTTTTCAACTTAAAAATATATAATCTTCCAAATTTTTTTTTAAATAGTGATATTATTAGCTTTACTTTGCAAGAATTCGTATTCTATGCTAGCCAAGACCATTGTTTTTTCAAAGTCAATTTCCCAATATCGCCAGCAATAGCCAACTTATTTATGGAAGACATAGAAGTACGAGCAATCGAAACGGCAACACTAAAATCAAAGTTATGGCTATGGTACGTATAAGACACATTTATCATCTGGACTCACGAAGAAGCGGAACTGAAGAAATTCCTAGACCATCTCAACGGAATTCCCAAAAGTTCACAATGAAAACCGAGAAAGAACACCAATTACCTTTTCTGGATGTCTTCATAATCAAGAACAATAATGGCAAACTAGAGCACATGCCCAGTCTTACCACCACCCGTCACAACTGCAGTCAGTTATTAAGACACTTGTCACGCGATCCGAAAGGCTTGCGGATGATGGCCACAAGAAACAGGAAGACCTGAAAATCCAAACGACGCTACAGCAAAACGGATTCTCCAAAACCATCATCAAAAAGGCTGTTAGACCACTACACCGGTTAAATACCACAGAGGACGAGAACAACAAACCAACTTCGAAGGCCTTTCTTCCCTACGTGAGTAAGTAAGTAAGTTTATTCGTGCTAAAGATTACATAAAAGTATTTACACATGTCAAACAAGAAAACAAATAATATATGAGGTGTATGCTGGAAAATCAAAGCATTTACAAGTAAAAGAGTTTTGTACTGTATGTTTACAAAATGTTTAAAAATTTACAATTTAAAATAGAGTTAAAATGAAAAATGTTCAACAAAATCCAATAACACCAAACATACAACACATAAGTATATAATACAACTAGTACATTAGCAAAAAAATAATAAATAAATAAAAAATTATAAATCATGAAAGTCATTTAAAAGGTACTGGTCAAAGCTCCAAAAAGCTTTCAAGAGAAGGTAATTTTTGATTTTAGATTTAAAAATCAAAAATGGTAAGGCGCGTACGTAAGGGGGCAGGACGTTAAAAAAACGAATACAAAAGTAGTTTGTTCCAGTCCGTGTCACTTTCAGTCTCAGGAGAGTTTGATAAATATTGCTCGCATTACTGGTGCTATATGAGTGAAAGTTCTGGTGGGTTTTAAAGTTACCTAGGTTTGTTTTTATGTGAAGCAGACATTCCAGTATGAAAATACAAGAAAACGTAAGAATGCGAAGCGAGACAAAACTCCCCCTGCAGTCGTTCCTATACCCCAGCCCGCCAACATTTCGCACCGCCCTCCTCTGCAACCCGAAAATCCTATCCCTTGAGGAACTGTGGCCCCAAGCCAAAATACCATAAGATAAGGAAGATTGGATTACAGAAAATTAAACCATACGAATAACAGCCCTGGACAGGGACCCAGAGAGACCGCGCAGAAGCTAGTAACCCTTGCCAATCACGCCAGCAACCCGCTCTCCCTGTTCTTTCCACAGTAGTTTGTGGTCAATAAACAAGCCCAAGAATCTGGCACTCTGCGAGTAGTTATTATTATCAAACCGTCGTAGTGTGAACATCAAGTTTACAGTTTTATCCACATTTAGGAGAAGCCTGTTTGTACCGAACCACAGTGAAGCCCTCAACACACACCCCGCCTTAAGTAGCCAAAAGTTTTGATGCTGTGACGACAAAATTGGCCAGCTGAGATGGATTCTTTATCCTATGGAGGTAAAAACTCTGTTAAAATTTAAATCGTACCTGCTTCGCATACGCAAAGAAGCGCGCATTCTATTGTTAAAAATCCGACCCTAAGGGTCATTTTTTTAATATCTGGTTAAGTTTCAGTCAGTGTATCTAAGATATAGTTTCTATAGAGATTATTGTCAAAAGTAATATGTCAAATAAACTAACTGAAACTTAAACTTAAACCGCCCCGATCTACGTTGTTTGCTGATCCTGATATTATATAATCATGTCAAAATACGTGTCACAATGGAAATCGGGAAAAAGTTTGTGCATATTGTGGCCAAAAGATAGTGTTTGGAAAAAACCTGCAAACAATTTCAGAATAACCAGAGAATGTGCTGAACTTATAAGGAAACCTTTAAATTATAATTTTAATTTAGAGAATATAAAGTTCCCAGTTAATATATGTGTAAGTTGCAGACTCGCATTAGTTGAACGAGAAAAAGGTATACTTAGAAGAACACTACCAATTATACCTAATTACCTTAAAATAATATTAATAAAGGAAACCAGAGCACATGTCCAAGAAAAGAACTATTGTCATTGCTATATTTGCGAAAAAGCCACCCCTGATCATTCAAAATGCCAATGTCAATAATTCCAGAAAATTATCAATTAGAACCTGTTGAATCGAAAGATAACTTCTGTAATGATAACTGTGATCAAATTGCTGCTAAAAAAAGAAAAACATATTTAGAAGGAGACACTGTTGGCAGTAAAGCTAAGCTAACTAGTGTTCAAAGGCTCATAATGCTCTGTCTTGTACCTGATATAAAAGAGTCATACTTTAATATTACATTACTTTTTTAGTTAACTAATCTAAATTCCTGTATCGTTCCCTGTATATCGTTTAAATTTGTATCAGATTTTAAAATATTACTGATAGTAAATGGGCAACAGACAGCAACAGCAACTTTTTCCTGTCCATTTTGTTTTATAAATTTAAATGACTTAAGAAGCTCAACGTCTCAAGATAAGAACAAAAAGGATCAAGCTCATACATGCGTGCAGAAGGAACAGATTCATTAAATTTTCAAAATATGAGAACCTTTGGCGATATAAGAAAAGACCATGAATTATTTTGTTTGAATGGAAAGAAAAAGGACAAACCAAAACTCTACCACAGCACAATAAATCCACCTCTTTTCGATGAACCGAACGATACTTATGTCATTGAAAAGTGAATTGTTCCCGAATCTTCAAGGATTTGTAAATCATATATTCTGGAACGGTATCGTAAAAGCTGTGGGCCGGGAACAAGCTCTTTTATGGCCACAAAAACTGTGTGTCGTGAGCAAAAATTACCAAGGTGAACTGTTCGAAGGAAACGCGTGCAGAAAATTATTGAAAGAGCATGAAAAATTGTAGGACAGAGACATATATGGAGATTACGGGCCACTAAAGCTTGTTCCATTTATTAACGTACTAAAAACAATGACTAAAATTGTTGAAAGTTGTTTTTCCAACCGAAGAGTAAATGAGAATTTAAATTTATTGATTAAGGAATTAAAGGAAGCATACAAAGTAACTGAAGTATCGAAGACGTTAAAAGTTTATGTCATATTGGAGCACATGGAGCAATACTTACACTTTTTAGGCCAATATGGCCTAGGAATCTGGTCCGAGCAGGCAGGTGAATCGATTTATTATTTTTAAATTTTTAAAATTTTGGGATAAATATAAAATTAATTCATTATCTCATAGTCCTCCAGACTAAAATTAGCTATTGTTGAATTTTCTTCTCAACATATATAGTTCACATTTTGATGTAAAAATTTATGAATAAAATGTTTTTTAAAGTTGGAGATTATTAGTTTTGATATTATGTTTCTTTTCATAATTTAATGATATTATGTAGGTACATTACAAAATATAATGATAATTATAACAAGATTAGTAAGAGCAGTCAATTTATTGTATATTTTGTAACTGGATTTTTATTAACGCTATTTAAGTCACGAGTTTAATTATGCGGAGCAAGTACATAATGAACCAGTGTCTAAATAATAAAGTAACCAAAGTTTTAATATTAAAATTTAAAATTTAAATCGGTTTTAATCTTACTTTCTATTACTTTTATATATAGTCGCCTCTTAAGGGGCAATTGTATACATTTAATTCTAAGCTCACTTTTTTCCAATATTGACATAAACTCTAACTTTATTTTGTGCATTAAATTTTAATACACTAGTGCATTAAAATGTAATGCATGGCTTGTCATTTAAGGGGTACGAAAAATAATTGTAATTATCAGATAACTCGTGTAGCGAAGCAACTACGATTTTAATTTTAACGAAGATTTCATGTCCAAGGGATGAAGAACCGATGTACTTTGGCCGATTTTGTCGTCATATAGCAACAGCACTTTTAGCCACTTGAGGCGGGATGTGAACAGTGCCCTAGTGTTGGCCTCAACTGCCATACCCAAGACCCTGTTCTTAGTTTGGAAAGATGTCATCTGCAAAAATGGTTACATTATCTACCCCGAACTCAGTGGAGCCCTCAGTAGCACCAGCTCCCGACAGAATCGTGCCAGGAAGGTCAATTATATATATAAGAAAGAGAACGGGGGCACAATGAGAGCCCTGGGGCACCCCAATATCTACAAAAACCTCCTCTGGCACAGCACCATCAACAGTCACACACTGCGTTCTACCAGTCAGATAAGACATAAGGTGCTTTCCTTTTGCCACGATTCTTAGATATTCTTACCTCACCTTGGTTTATCTCACTTTAGAGACCGTTCCATTTGCAAAATGACAGGTAAGCCAAAGTGAGAATTTTACCTCCCCCCTTACCGATCAAGCACAACCTCCGGAGCACACTTACAAATGAGAAATTTTGATTACTTGGTGGTGGGGATAGATGCACGCCAAAAAGTGAGGTTGTACACTTTCTATCAAACAAAACAGAAGAAAATTAAAACAATATTAGTGATGGGCATAATCGGATTATATCAATAACCGATTATTTCAATAATCGGATGATAATTCGATTAAATAATCGGCGATTATAAATCGCATACTTTTATTCGGATTTCAATATCGGAATAATTTAATCGAATTGATAATTCGAATGAAAGTATGCGATTAATAATCGCCGTTTATTTTCGAATTAAGTAATCCGCGATTATTAATCGCATATTTTCATTCGGATTCATTCGGCGACTATAGAATACCTACAATTGTAGGTATGACTATTTAAATAGTAATTTACGATTACGATGATACGATACGATTAAACTAGTATTTTCAGAATCGCTGCTGAATATTACATTCACTACCAAAGAACTACATTCTATAAAATTAAAGAATAAAAAAAAAGGTATTTATTATTGTTTATATTTATATTTTTAACTCCCTGTATTATTTGATTCGATATTTTGTTCGTTAAGTCTTTAATCTTTCCGTTAAACCGTTGAGGGAAATGGTTAAACCACAGAACATAAAGCCTGAATTATAGATTGCCTTCCTTCCTTCCTTCCTTCCTTCCTTCCTTCCTCCCGTAGAAGATGAACATTACGTAATTGTCACCATTAACATTTCCCGTTTAGATATTTTTAATACTTTGTGATAAAATTTTGCAGTTATAGTAATAAAAAAAATCTAAGAATAAAATATTTTCTTAACAAAATCATATTTTTAAGTAATTTCAATATTTTAAATTATCAATAATTGTTAAGTTTAATTAAAATTAATAACGGGCAATGCTAATGGTGACAATTACGTCAAAAATGTTTATTTAAATCGTATAGTGCCATTTATAGATTCCCGTACCGTACGGGCACGACTACGGGAGGAAGGAAGGAAGGCAATATATAATTCAGGCTGTCAAGTGTCACTTTTAGAGAAAATAGGCTTACCAACCGTTCCTTTGGTCTATTTTAGGTAAGATGAGTGCGCGTAAGTGGCCTCGCTTATCTCACTTTTGCTTGGCTTACTTCAAAAATGAAAGGAAAGCACCTATAATCAAGCGGCAAGTGCCCGGGGAGAATCCGTAAAAGTAAAGCTTTCGCAGCAGTATAAGGGGTGGGACACAATCGAAGGCCTTACTGAGGTCAAACAAGCTGGCTGCAGAAAATTCGCGCTGTTCAAAGAATTCGATTATGGTATCTACAAAAGACATAATAGCGCTTGTTGTTCGACGAAATCCAAATTGATGCTTTGGGAACAAGTTATTATTTTCAAAGTGTTCCACAACCTGAGCTACCAGAAGCTTTTCAAAGATTTTTGAAAACACCGGCAAGAGTGCTATTGGTTCATTTATGTTGCCCTTTTTATGAATAGGTATGATAACCGCTTTTTTGAGCACTCTTGGAAAAATGCATTGATTTATCAATTTTGTAAGTGGAGTAAAAATCTGATTTTTACTACACTTTATTATGTCAGTGGTTAGGCCATAAACATCCTTGCTCCTGCTGTTTTTAAGACTTACTGGTTTCGCGCACTTCAATGAGTGATACCTCCCTGAAACTGAAAGCAAGACCATCCGGAAAAGAAACATTCAACATTAAACCAATTGGATCAGCATTTGTGGGGGGGAATCGTTTTAACAATGTTATTAGCAATATTAATAAAAAAATCATTGAATGTGTTAGGTGAAACTGAGCAGTTATTTTTTGTCCTACCTGGCTTTCGAATAGAATTTACTAGTTTCCAACTAGATTTTGAGCTGTTACCCGAATTTCTTATGTACATATCATTAGCCTCAATTTTTGCCTTTTTTAGTTTTTTCTATTCAATTTCTTATAATTCCTTAAAAGATTTTTTTAGTTCATTAGTTTTACGTAGATTATAGGAATCACTCAGTATCCCTACTATATCACGGAGATTTTTTAGGTTAACTTATTATAGCTGCTCTGTTTTTTATAAATAGCCCTTTCAGGAAACGCCTCTTTGAACATATTTTCAAATACACCCACAAAAGCTGAGGATTTCAAGTCAGGGTCCTGATTTGAATCTATAATTGGAGACCAGTCGTATGTTAAAAGAATATCAATAAGCATACTTCTGCCCCTATTTGTAATAGGTCTAGTAAGTATGGGAACTTTTGTATGTTTAACATAACATCAACATGAGTATTTATTATGTTTGTGAAAGCATTATCAATTGTGTTGGCATTTCTGGTAGGCAAGTCAACAAGTTTTGATAGACCAAAACCATTGAGCAGGTCAATTAATCTTGATGCATCAACGTCATCATCCTGCCTGTTTACATTTTTGAACCATACATTAAAATCGTCCACGATCAAAACATTACCCCTCTTAAAGTTGACCTTGTTACATACCTTTTCAATGATCTCCATGAAAATCACAAAACTTCCTTTCGGGTTTGGTAACCTGTATACAGTTATGACAGTTAAGTTAAAAACTGGGATTAAAACAGCAGAGATTTCACAATGCTGTTCAATTGATAGTGAATTTAAGTCCTCAAGTTTCTCGTAGGTCAGTGTGTTATCCAGCATTTCAACAACTCCCTAACCTTCCTAGAGAATTGTGAGGCCGTTGTAAAGTTGCCAATCTTTAAATATTCCGTTTCAGTTTCCGTTAACCAAGTTTCATTCATACAGAGTATGTTAAATTTTTCTCCGATATATGCTTCCTCATTAACTTCGCAGGCATTGCATATTTTGGTAAAATAAATTAAAAGATAACTGAGAAAAGACTAATGGTTTTCCTGATTTTAGACTAGTTTCTCTTTGTCTGTTATCAGTTTGAAGAAAAAATTATTAATTCTAGCACCTTCTGGCCAAATTTCAGGATTTTTTAGCTTTTCCAAGTTTGTCTTGTAGGCAGTGACAATAAAGGACTTGTACAAATTTGGATGCTTAGAAAACCCAGGTTTTACACTTATGTTTTTGAATTCCAACGTTTCTATGTATTCACCTATTCACCTATTCACCGTGAAAGGGACAACCGAGAGAATATGCAAAGTTCTCAAAAAACATAACATTAAGACAACATTTACCGCCCCAAGAAAGATCGGCCAAATACTTCCGAACGCCAAACCAAAAATGGAGGAACAAGGGGTGTAAGAAATTCATTGTAAAAATTGTGACGGAAGTTACGTGGGACAGAACAATAGACGTATCAACGTTAGACGCGAAGAACATCGTAACGCAGTCTTGAAACAATAAAAAACATCTTCCTTAGCTGAACACGTTCGAAAAACTTCCCATGAAATTGACTTTGAAAAAACAAGGGTCTTGACTAGCATCGAACACAGGACCAAGAAACCTCAACACAAGAGACGAAACACAGAGACTACCAACTATATGGAAACCACCAAAACGCCACGCAAATTAACGAGATCAATGTTCTGCTTTAGATTTCCACGGGCGTTATAGGTGTTGATGGTTTTCCGGGATCTGCTTCGTGTTGTCGGTTTTTGGTTCTTAAAAGAACCGTATGTCTGACTACGTTTCGGTACAATCTCATGGTCTTATCTGCTGAGCTGCTGTTGCTGCTCTGCTGCTTTAGGTTTCCACTGGCGTTATATGTATGAACTCGCAGCAGAGCAGCAACAGATGCTACTGAAGATGGTACATGATATCGGAAGTCACTACGAAAAGTGCATTTTTTTAGCGCAATGTCATATAGAGGTCGAAAAAAGCGTTATTTCAAATTTTAGGTTGGAAGTCAGTGCGTGCCATATATACCTACAAAACTTTCCTTTAGTTCGGGTATATACCGCTGGCGCTGAGGTCGCTACAAATATTTAACAAACTGTACGATTTGACTTCCGCGTGGGCGTGACAATATAACTATCTTTGTTGTGCCTGCAGTTCACGCTATACCTAACTCTCTCTTGTTAAGTCGGCGTTGCCAAATCTTTATTCTCATTCCTTTAATTAGTAGAGTGATATTAATATCTCATGGCGCTGAGACGCTGCGAGACATTTAAGATCTGCCGCCTTTGGCTTTGAATCACTGCTTTTTTCCTTTATTTCAGGGACTAGGATTAAATCACTGATTTTGAATAGCTCTCAACTTACTCGCGATCGAAACCTATTTCGATCTGCGAAGTATTACTATTATGAGTTAAATTATACCGCTCTCGTAGTGATTCGATACATTAAGGATTCAATCCCAAAAGTATCAAAACACTTCTACTCTTTTAAAGATTAAATACCTAAAAGATTTATATTCTAAATGATAACCAAAGTTTAAGTTTAAGTTTAAGATTTAATACTTTTCGGAACCCAGTGATTAAATCAGAGTGAAATTATCAGATGATATAATTAATTAAATACTGGTAATTTATTAATACTGGTTATTTAATAGGGCTAAAAATTTATATTTATTAAATAAATATAAATTTTTAGTCCTATTAAATTAATAAATTGTAAAATTATATTAAATTAATTTTATAATTTTATAAAAATACCTTAATATTATTGTTAATTTTTAAAATTATTTTATTGATATATGGTATATATTTATTTAGCAAATTTTATAAAAAAGTGGTATTTATAATAACATTAATAATGTTAGATTATACATTACATTTCTCTATGATTAAACTATAATAATATTATGGTAATAATCATTACAAAAATAACATAAGTAGATGGGTATCATTAAAATGATTTAATAATAACAATTTAAAAACAAAATAATTGCCACCCTATTTATTAATGTTATTATTGCAAATAAACCTAGCAAGATGGGTATCTATAAAAAGGTCTTAATAATTACAATTTAAAAAATTATATTAATTACCCCCTTCTTCCCCGATAATTTATTAAACTTTTTTTCCAAAGAATTAACGTGGCAAGATGGGTATCTATGAAATGGTATTAAAAATTACAATTAAAAAATTTATAATAACTCCCCCCCCCCCCTTCTGCCCCCTAATTTATTACATTTGTATATTCCAATGTTAACACGGCATGATGGGTATCTATAAAAAGGTCTTAAAAATAACAATTTAAAAAATTATATTAATTACCCCCCTTCTGCCCCCTAATTTATTACATTTTTATATTGCAAAGTTAACATAGCATGATGGGTATCTATAAAAAGGTCTTAATAATTACAATTTAAAAAATTATATTAATTACCCCCTCCTTCCCCCCTTATTTATTAAACTTTTATTCTGAAGAATTAACGTTTCAAGATGGGTATCTATGAAATGGTATTAAAAATTACAATTAAAAAATTTATAATAACTCCCCCCCCCCCTTCTGCCCCCTAATTTATTACATTTGTATATTCCAATGTTAACACGGCATGATGGGTATCTATAAAAAGGTCTTAAAAATAACAATTTAAAAAATTATATTAATTACCCCCCTTCTGCCCCCTAATTTATTACATTATTAAATTGCAAAATTAACATGGCATGATGGGTATCTATAAAAAGGTGTTATTAATTACAATTTTAAAAAATAAATTAATTACCCCCTTCTGCCCCCTAATTTATTACATTATTAAATTGCAAAGTTAATATGGCATGATGAGTATCAATAAAAAGGTCTTAATAATTACAATTTAAAAAATTGTATTAATTACCCCCTCCTTCCCCCTTATTTATTAAAATATTCGCTTATCGGGTTATTTAATGCAATGCACTGGAGTAATTGGACCCTTTAATAATTATTTATATACCTTTATTTTTTCTACTAAACATTATTTTATAGAAAAATTTGAACGTGACGATATGTCCAAACGTACATTTGGCTTTTTTTGTTTCGTATACCTGCTCCAGGTTTATTTTGAATGTTTTTTAATAAAAAAATGAATTAATTAGGGGTGAAGAAGGAAGTAGTTTAAAATTATTATCATTAAGAACATTGTACAAATTTTGCCATGTTAATATTGCAAGAAATAGAAAAGGGAAATTTATATAATTTTTTAAATTATAAATATTGGGACCAAAATGTAATGTACACTATGTATTTTCGTAACCCGATTCTTTAAGTATATTGAAATACTTGTTTTGGCATATTCGTGATCGTCTAGTTAATTTACTTACTTTATAAAATTTAGGACTCTACGTTGTGTATTTACTTACATTGATAATAACGATATTTTGAAATTGGTCAGGTTTAATGAAACACAAGTATTTAATTTTTAAACCCCTGATTTAATTTAAGCAAAGACAAAGGGGTGGCCCGTTGAGTCAGAGCACAGGGAAAAGGGACCATAAAAACCCTGGCGACTTACGCAGTTCAAATAAAAATAGAATACAAAACAAAACATAGTCATATGGGTCATAATCACAAGAATACAGTATAAATAATAAGTGAATAAAATAACATAAAAAGCAGATAAACATATTTCATATAATTTGGGTGTTTTTATCAATACTCAAAACATTTTGTACTCAGGTAAAATAGTTATAATAGAGATCGTCATTTTATGACGAAGTGTTTGTTTACCTTACCACGCATCTTCGAACTATTGAACGAGGATACGATTTAATATAAATAAACTACAGTAACGACACATTTCAGATAGAAAGAATTCAAATGCTTTAAAGGGGAGAGGAAACATGGAAAAATTTAATCTAGTGCAGATATTTAACCGTAGCCAATAACCACACTATGGGACAATTGCATACTCTGTGAAGTGATATAACGTAACCTAATGTCCCTATCTCACTATAGTATCCCTATATCACAATATGTTCAAATATCCTCACAAAATCAATGTCCAGCACAAGACAACAGTATTATGAAAATATACAAACAATTCTGCACACAGAGTTTATAAGTAGGTAATAACATAACGACCCCAAATGTTCCTATCTCACTATAGTGTCCCTATATTACCTATGCTCAAATATTCATGTATGAACACCCTCCAAACAAAATATAAAACAAATACAAAACAAATAAATATGCAATAAAATAAAATAGTGTAAAATACAATACAATAAATAAATGGTGGTAAATATGAGAGTGTCATAGCAAAAACATACAAGCATAGCCTAAAACTCCAACTAAAAGAAAGTGTCGTACCGAACAAAACAATATTTAAACCCAATACAGTATCGAAAAGGTCATTATCAAATATTACAATTAAAGCGCTTAGATAAGCAGTTTAAATCCAAGTCTATAACCAGAATCTATCAAACAATCTAAACGGCACCAATACCTTACCAAAATATTACCTAATGGTAATATCAAATTTAATAATAATAATAGCAATAATAATAATAATAATAACAATAAACCTTACCCAAATAATACCAATTTTATAATAGTAATATAATTGTTAAAAGCTTTAGCCTGAGTACAAATGCAAAGAGTTAAAATAAATAAATACCTTAATACCGAGATGATACACTGAGTTTCATAAACAATAAAATACATTTCAGTTAAATAAAAGTTATACAAAGTTATAAAAAAAAGGAAACAACAAAATCAAGGCCAGTGTAACCCAAAATAAAGACAATACAAAATATTAAAATTTAAGTTAAATATAATTCAGTGTATATAGTAAATGCAACAACATAAAG